AACTATTTTCTGATTGGCTAATAATTGTTAAGGTTGTAGGGTCAGTGAAATGTCACTGAGCCCTAGCCAAATCATACGGCAGTTGGATCACTGAATGTCGAACAGATCATCGCTCCCTGCCAAGGTCATGTAGAAGCAACGCGCATTAGTTAATCATACGCCATGGACTGGCCCATGCGGCAGTGGTCTTACTTTCGCCTGTATCTACCTTAACTAATATATTTCTGTAATAACGTCCTTTGTGTTGTACAGTCTTCAAAGCATCTATAGTACCTTGTTACGTCAATGGGGGTAGTCCACGTAAGGTGCTGACCACGAGGTGTGACTTCGACGTTAGTTGGTTCGTCACACCATTCACGTCTAACTGGAGTAGGCCTCCAATCATTTCGACATAGATCATCTACGTTGGTGATCTACACTGGTGAGCAAGACTTCGAGTAACGCAACCTATCACTATAATCTTTATTATTGTATTCTATACTTATTCTTTTTCATTTGTATCATCGCCTATGTTAATCTATCACTGTGAACTTTCGTTGCTTCATGTCAATGTTGATTAGTATTTAAACTTAAATACTTAGTTCAATCGACAGAACTAACCACTCAACTACGATTATAATCGGCTATCGTGGTTCTTTAACAAGCATTAGCAGCATGTAAATGCTCCTGTGTAATATGTCTGTTAAAATATCAACCACTCGTGATTATAGCCACAAGGCAACACGAACGCACATCTGTTTGTAATTTATTCACTGGTATAAATAAGACAAGATTAACTATCGACTATAAATTCATCTTTCTGCTTAACCACTATCCACTAGAATGTTTTGCCTTTTTTTACCACTGCCTGCCTAATTTCCAATTGCTGAGTTCCATGGCCAAACAGAGGATACGAATGCTAGAAATTTACGGTGAGTTTGAACTATAAATTTCCTGCGATCTTAGATCTCATTTAGACTGTTCGTCAGGTAATGCTATGTATTCGGCTTACATTAATTCTGGACTTATACAAATTCAGTCTACAACGCTGTGTTAATCGAAAAATTTAATCAACAGTACCTCGTACATAATCCAGATTCAAACTACTGCCTACTTCATTACTTAAAGGCAAGATTAACCCAGGCGAGTTTCATAATTTCATTAGATTATTTCGTACTATATTTATGATGCGTGATAACATTTCGTAGTTGCTTTCACGTAAACTAGTCATATACTCTGTCACTGCCGTCAAGTTTTAGTCGAAATCATGTACATTTATGACTCGTTAGTCGACATACTGTGGTAAAACATATTGCATGTACACGAGCACGCTTAGTCCATATCCCAAGTACACACGTTGTCGTACTTAATATGTCACTTAACGCTAGGTAATAAGCTCTTTGTATCAGCCTTTTACGAAATGGCCACGTTACCTGGACCCTCTAAACCTTAGTTACATTGGTGGTTACCACTTTAATTAATGTTTATTATACCCCTTGTATTTGCCATTAATTCACACGGTAAATCATGGCTCGATTTCCTTATTACACGACAGTCATTTTAATTCTATTTTCGGTTTATTTACATGCCATACGGGTTTGGAAAATATCTAAACGTCCTCGAAAATTCTCCACGAACCCAACCGTAGTTTTCGTATATGCTTTTATTCACACATCCAACAGTTACGCTAATAATACCTAAACGAACGTTCAGTGCAACTGTCAGTATACGTAAGAACGATGTTATTTAGACTTGACATTGTAACACATCTGAACTATTGTAGTTATTCTACTTCGATGTCGTACTTTATTTTATGAAGCATTGTTTCCTCGTGTCTGCTATTTAACAGATGATTTCGGTACATCAATCGGCTGTTCAACTACTCGACGATTTACAACCTGTCCAGTTCAATTGGTGGTCTGACGACAATATCATTCGCGCGAATCATCAGTTTATGCAGTCGAGCAAATCTCCTGCAAACTGAAAACGATATTGTCGCCTCTATCCCAACACTGACAGCGTTTTTCACGGGTATCATTGACATGAGTCCAGAGTGACACTCTTGGTTTCTTATGTTCTTTTCGATATTTTTCTGTTCACTAACCGAACAAACACGCAGCATTCACCGTTTATCATCTTTTAGAGACATCATCGTGCCACCTTTGCTGTGGATTTGTAGCCTTCAACCCTTACTGGCTGTAACAGCAGTCATCGACTTTTCAAACTGTGACTACAAGTTGGTCAATAGCTTCGCACAACGAAATAACGACCACTCTTCACTGTTATACTTCTGTACTTACGGTTAGTCTGTTAGATATAGATATAACTAGAATTCGACACTAATTAATAACTGTCAACGACACTGTCCGACTTACAACTTTAAACTAATGACAGTACAAATATGGATATCGATTGATAATACACTTATCCTACTATCGCTATAGCATCATTACTCTTGCGGCAGACTTAACGTTTGTCATCGGAGGAACTGAACTACTTGTCAACGCTATATATTTCAGCGCGACTTGATAGAACAATAAAACGTTTTGTTCTTTTCATTATTTCTATGGTTAATCGCTTTACGTTTAACGAACGTCCTACTAACATATTATGACTCGCTGTTTCCCGACCAGTTTCTGCCGCCTCCTTTCCATTTCTTTTACAGATAAGCAATACCTGGAGGATTTATAATATTCGTTTGGCACTCTCTGGCGCGCGACTGTTCCCAACATGTTTGGTACCGATTCAAACGACCGTTGAATCTGGTGGGGGAGTATTGTAGGGTCAGTGAAATGTCACTGAGCCCTAGCCAAATCATACGGCAGTTGGATCACTGAATGTCGAACAGATCATCGCTCCCTGCCAAGGTCATGTAGAAGCAACGCGCATTAGTTAATCATACGCCATGGACTGGCCCATGCGGCAGTGGTCTTACTTTCGCCTGTATCTACCTTAACTAATATATTTCTGTAATAACGTCCTTTGTGTTGTACAGTCTTCAAAGCATCTATAGTACCTTGTTACGTCAATGGGGGTAGTCCACGTAAGGTGCTGACCACGAGGTGTGACTTCGACGTTAGTTGGTTCGTCACACCATTCACGTCTAACTGGAGTAGGCCTCCAATCATTTCGACATAGATCATCTACGTTGGTGATCTACAAGGTCATTTAAAATCCGTTCAAAGGTCGTCCCTAAATTAGAGTCTCGCCGACTGTGTGGTTAGGGTCCAATGCCACTACGAACTGACGACTCGCTTGTTATGGTTACCAAACCGTAAATCCTAGGATAATTTAAATAATCTAAACGGAGTTCTATATTGCATTCTACTAATCGCGTGATAACCGCCTCTGAGTAAACCAATGCATGCTTGTAAAAAACCTCTAACAGAATGGTGGCTCCTAGAAAGCCTGTTTACCATACAGACAGATTTCAGGAACTAGAGCAAACTCAGTAACAAAGCTAGTAAGCGCAATATGTAAGCGAGGACAATACCATACGAGGAGGTAGAAGGGTTTGGTGCTGAAATCAGCGTTAACCAGAAAATTGAAATGAAGGATTGAGATGAGAACATGTATCTATTACGTTAAAACATGTTAACTATTTACGGTAATGAGAACTCGAAAATCTATAACATAGACAACCCGCCACCACGTTACTATAAAAGACCGGGAATATTTTAATTTATCAGGCACAACATAGCACAAGCAACATAAGAGCAGGATAAATAAGGATATTTAGGTCAATTGAGACATAGAGAAGTACGACAAAACAGAAAGCAGTAGTAAGCAACACAAAACATGACTAACAGAAATTATTGCAACGGATTGGAACTCTTACTCTTTTAGTTTCTAGTCTTCATCATCAGATTGTCTTTATTATACTCTTGTGTCATCGTTAATTACTTCCAATTGCTTTACCTATAAGATGTGTCTTGTGCGCTTGTTGAGTCACTAACTCACTTTTCCTCCTTTAAATGTCCTCATGCACAATACATTTCACGCTTCCTAGTAATCAGAGTACCTTTATTGCAGACATCAGTCACTGCTTGACGAAAACTGAACATATCCCGCCTTGAATAGTAAGCATGATAATTTTCGCCTTGCTCCGTAACCAAGAAAACACTCCAACTATCTAAACGCAGAACCTAAGCAATGAACAGTTAGCTAATCCCCCCAAGCAGAGTTGTAGTCGCGTTTTAAAGGTTTCGGTCATGGCTCAACTATGCAGATGTGGCCACTACTACGTAACTATTTGCTTTTCATATTAAATATATTATTCTCTTCTAAATTCAAATATATCCTTCAGCGGCAACTACCTACTTTCATGATAGGACGATTAGCTATAGATAATGTTGTGACTACAGCGTAGGATCTTGTAGATTTTATAGTTACATCATGGCAAATCTAAAGTTTTTGATAATATCCATTATTATACTAGTAAAGGTAAGTGTATTATTACCAACATGGATCAAAATTTTACACTTTCACTGACACGAGTCACATATCCAGTTAACGGGCAAGTGTTGTCAAACGCTGAGTGCTAGTGTTTTAAAGATGTCACAAGTATTCATAATTTGGCAACGCCTTTACCAGTAACACTTCTGTAATTCATCTATACCAATCCAGACAAATCAGAAGACGGGAATGAAGGAGTTCGAAAATATATTCGGAAGGCTATCTGTATGTCGGGGAACGTTGCGTATAGGCTGGCTACCAATCGAAAGGGATGTGTTGCACGGCGCACTCACTCGTGATTCGGTAAAGATGCGTGACCGAACACCTTTAGCTAGATGTGTCCAGTAAAACTAATGTGATCAGCATCAAACGTCGAAGACTTTCAGAATTATTTATCTTGGGGATTTATTTACCGCTACAGTGTCTTTGATTTCTTAATTTGGTTCCTACTTGTAAGTAATGATGATGCCCTACTTCCGAACGTAAAGCTCAATTGCCAGAAGATTCTTCTGTTCTGTCCACAACAATTTGCCAAGAGATGAAAATTATCTTACAGCTGGTTGATTTGAAAACTTGGACAATCAACGGAAAGTTTTCGAGCAATTGCGTTACGGTGTGCTAGCGGATGCTTTCTTGAGCCGTATTATTGTATATACTGTTGGTTTTCATTATACACTATTTTACTAGATATGATGGTTTGTATTTATAGCTCTTCACAATTCGCTTGTTTCATACGTTTTTGTTAGTTAGAGTATATATGTATATATATATGAAGTCATTTAATGCTTAGATACATGTTTTTTCACTCCAGTTTTTCCACTACTTTTGTTCCTGTGCCTTATAGTACAAAAGTATTGAGTCCAAAACTTAGCAAACTGATGAAAAGCTTGCATTTAAGAAAACAGTGTTGTATTTTGTAAGCATATCAACCCACTTTAACATTCTTCATTTTTTGATATTTTGTTGGTGTTAAAGTAGTTCTTTTATACGGAAATCTTCCCTGGCTATTCGTTACTTTTCCTCTCCGCTGGTTGTTTTCTCCCGTCACTTTCTTCAAGTCCTTGCTATTTACTTGTCTGAATTCGAGGTTTTCTTCGTTTCTATAAACGGTCTTTAGACTAATCCTGTTCTCTGTTACGGACACTTATAGCCAGTAATTGCTGATTAATTCACTCCTAATCATAGGCTTTTCTCGATAGTTGCCATACGTGCTTGTGTAAATGTCTGTATCTAAAGGTAGGAACTGAATCATGCTTCTCGTATTCCTGCCATTGAAACAAAATGTTCGGGGATGCCTTTTGACATATCTAAGTATCATGTTCATTCTCCGTTCAAATGCATAACCCAAACATTTTAAATTCATTTTTATTCTTTCCAAGACTCTACAGCCAAATGTTAAAGCTCCATGTATTACTCCCATCGGCTCGAGGTATCAGTTTCGAAGTAGTTTTTTAACTGGCACTACCTACTTAAAAATACGGGTAGTCCCATCTTAGATCATTTCGGCGTGATGATTTTATGTAGAACACCCATATTCACTTGAATAGGCAAAAGATGAACAAATAAAAAAGTTCACAATAAATTAGAAGCTGAACAAAAACCAGGACCTGCCGGTATACCAGTCTGTTTCTGCTAATCTATTATTGATGTTTCACGCCAAGATAAGCCAGTCTTATGGCGTAGGCGAGATATCCGTCTATCAACCAAAGGACGTGTTTACTGTGCAGCAGTTCGTTCCGTCCTACTTTATGGCAGTGAAACATGGCCGGTAAGAGTAGAAGATATAGTAGGTTACCAGCATTCGAGCAGAGGTGTCCTCGAAGCATTGCTCGTATATCCTGTCACCACCGAGTAAGTAATGCAGTTCTTAGGAAACGGATACTAGGTAAGGATGACAAATCAAGTGATGAAGTAGTGAAACGTCATCAGTTGAGATGGCCGGGACACGTGTTACCTATGCACGAACACCGACTGCCTCGACGTGCGATGTTCAATTGTATAGGAGTAGGTTGGAAGAAAGCTAGGGGCGGCCAGGCCAATACATGAAGTCACTAACAAGTGGACTGAGCCATGTTGGTAGGTGTAGACTACCTGGTTGGGGTCCACGAGATGATAGCAACCAATGGTTAGAGATCTTGAATGACATGGCTCAGAATCGTTTGCAATGGCGCAGGTGCATCCACTCTTTGTGTTCTCCCAAATTCTAATCTTCTGAATTCTTCATGTCCCTTTCTTTTTTCTGTTTCCAAATTTATTTCACTGGATTATACTCTTTAAATAACATCTCCAAACCCTAATCTTTCCGATTACTGCTTATACTCTTATTACCTCTACCACTACGGGATTTGAATCGACAACTGCATCTCTGTGTTATTGTGGTTTGGCAACTCGAACTGATGTACGTACGTACAAAGTTCTACGTTGTTACTGACTGACATAAGCCAGTTAGTGTGAATTAAATTCATGATTTGATAACTTCTTCAAAATTTTTTGATATTTCTATGTGCTGAAATTCAGAAAGGATCCAGAACTCGATGATAAGTTGAACGAATACTTAAATTCATTCCTTATCTATATGTTCGATTTCAATGATTATCAGAGAATTTTGTGGTTCTCACAACTTTCCCAGTTTTATTGCCTAGCTTTTTCTTATTTTCGTATGGCCTTCTGTTTAGTCCAAGTACTTTTGTATTGAGTAGAAATTACACTTTAATCGGCATATTTTTTTCAATTTTCTAGTACAAAGCATAGAAACAAAAATTCCCAGTATTGGAAATTAATCAGTAAATAGATCTTAAAATCACTTTACATGTCTGGTAACGCCTTACCAAGAGCCATATTACATGCTGTTTATGGAACTACAACTCCACGATTCGTTCCTCAATTACAGCGAATAACACTAAAGTGTTGTAAATTTCGACGAGATAGTCAAGGTGTCAGGTATGTTACTAACCCTTTGCTTTCTATCATCAGTTGATTAGTCGGGGTTTTGTTGATCACTGGGAGTAATAGTACTCACTCTGCATTGATCTTTTGCACATGGGTGACATAGTTATGTTAGCTAAAAATAATGCATAATTTGACGTAGAAAAGTGGAGCAAATGAGACCATTATCCAATTCACTTAATCTGGCAAATCAAACAATCCAAACGGGTTTTCGACTAGTAAAATCTTGAAGTGAATACAACAGTTTCATTTAGCTTCTGTCAGCTCACATTTATGGGTTTAGAGTGAAAAGTAAATGCTTCTTATTGAGCTATTTCACCGTTTATTTGTTTGGTTCTTATGAAATTTGGCACCTCTAGGCTCCAAAAGTGGTATGCTTCACACAAAATAAGTTTTTGTCAGATGGGATACTGCTCAGGCATCCAAATCAGAGTAAGTAGTTTATGTAAGGGGCCGCTCCTCGAACCTTTAACCTCAAGAGAGTGGACTAACGCCTGTAGGTGCCGCTCTATAGTATCCAGTTACCAAAAATACTTTCTTTCATCGCTCATTCCCTCAGCACCCTGGGGCCTACGCACATCATTGACTTGCAGTCATGGTTTTCCATCCCTTGGTGGATTCTCCGTACCCACTAATCTAGTTTAAGCGTAGTGTTTTCGTTTTTCCTCTCACTTTCGTAATCACCACCCTATTTTGTGAAGTCAGTGAGTTATACCTTTATGGCAGAAATCATAAACACATGGCCGAATGGTTGGGGGCCTATGCTCCACGAGGGTTGACAAGGGTAAGTAATTAGTAGTTAGAGTATTTTGGGAGAGAAAGCGGATTTTCCCCCACATGGCCCGTGCAGGTAAGTTGGGGGGTACTCTGCCTATCCTTTCCTTATTATCTCATGAGTTAGGGACGTAATAACTGAAAGTGGAGTATATGCATTAACTGCAATTATTTGATACTATGTATCCTGTAGGTACCACTCGCTTGTATTGGGTCTACTAAGTGAATACTGTCCTGCATAGCTGTCTATCCATAAAGATGGTTGGAATATGTATCACGGATTTATGACCACCACCAAAGTCTCCACACTATTCTTATTAGTGTAGGAATAGGTTGGAGGTCAGTCACTCTCATAATCAATGTAGGACCTGATACAAACATTCATCATCCCAATTCTTCATTCCAAATTAGCATAGCTAGGTAAAACTAATAAATAAGTCGAAATAATTATGGTATCTATGACAATAAAAATTATAAAAATGCGCTTCAAAAATTAGGCACAAACTTGCAAGTTGAATGAAGACTAAGGGTGACCGAATCAAGACAACGACTATCCATAAAATCATTGACCATTAGTCAAATCCATGTGGGCACTAATCGAATTTACGATTTGGGTTTACGTGGCCCCCAAATGCCCTGGTACGGCCGAGAGTGGGGAGTGTCCACTCTCCCTCTCGAAATGTCCTCACATGGCCATGCGTATATAGCCTCTGCCAGGGAAGTCCTACTCACTGCCTTCTCGTGGCGGGGGTGTTATTTACGAAAATGAGAGAACGAAAAGCGAATGTCCGGCGCTTTAACCGGATCCCAAGCCAATGGTGCACATGGGCTCCAGTATCCTGCGGGAACAAATGGCATATGAACCAATTGTTGGTCACCGGCTTCCATGGGACTGCATCTCCATACGATGCTCCACTGCCTTGTGGATCAGACCTTCAGGTCGAAGGTTCGGGGGGTGGCCCCCTAAGAAAACCACCTGCTTCGGTTTGGGCACCCGGGCAGTATCACAGCCCTCACACATATCGAATGAGATTTGTTTGGCGCATATGTATTTGGTGCCTCCTTGTACCCATATCTATGTGTTAAAATAATAATAATACGTGGCTTTAAATCAGTCCTAGTGGTTCAGGTGCATACACAATTGCTCTTTCTCTACACATTAAACGTGTTATTTGAACTGTCTTTGTGTTGTGTTTGGCAAGTTAAGTTTACTCATTTGAGTCATTTTGAAATACGTTTGTCTATACTGGTTGCAACACCACAATATGTGTTTAACATCTTATTCTGTTATTGTCTAATCATTCGAATGAACGCATATCGTATTAAACATTTGTGCTGTTACTAGTATTATAATTCAGCACACATATTTTCTTTAACTTTCTAATCGATTATGATAGATACCTGTTGCTGGTGTACGGTCTTGTTAAATTCCTGGCTTCATAATTAAGCGAATCGTTGTACATTTCCGTATTTGACTTTTTACCTTAGTGATTAGCAAGCATATACTTATGACTTCCATTCTTTTCAGTTAACCAAAGACTGAACAGTTTTACAGAACGGTTGCTTAGTGGTTGTGACTTTCGACTCTCGGCCAGCATACCCCACGTTCGAACCCCGTCTCACCTACTTTGGTTCAGGTATTCGGGTGGTATCATCAGCCCTCATACTTACAGTGTGACTCATGCTTAAGTACCTGATGAATAGGTTAATTGTTGTTGTCATTGGTAATAGTACTACCCCAGTAATCGAGTAAAAAACAGACTTCCAGTGCATGGACTCGTGACATAAACTTTGAGTACTAAGGTTGTTAAGTACTGTTGGCAGGCTTCATCCTTAATTATTTCAGATGGTCAATGGATATCGAATTCTTTTTGGGTAAAGTAAACGAAGTCCTTGTTTAGTAGATTGTCGCTAGCTTTCTTGAGTAATAAGTCAGTATCAATCTCATTCCACCTATTTAGTTCATTGGTTCAACTACAAGTGTCCGGTTTATAAACCACTAGTGGTATTTCAATCGACGAAAATTTCCCCATCCATTCGGTCCAAAACCCCGTAATTTCAAGTTAACCGTCCATAGTTTCGACCAATAAAGTTATTAAAGGTTTGATAGTGCAATAGCCTTTGAGTGTTGTGGTTAACAAATATTTTAATAATCACTTCTAGAATCGTTTCATAATAAGGTTTCGATATTCATATCTGGATGTAACTAGTACATGAAATATATGCACTGCCAAATTTTTCGACCCATAACTTTTACCATTAATGTGAAATTATTTTGCATTTTCTTCTTGCTATTACTATTAATGATTTTTACACAGAGATTATATTGAAAATCATTTAGTGGACTTCGCTCGAGATAATCCAGCAACCGTTATCTATGTAAAGCCACGTAGAAATAGACCTCCTCTTCTAGTTGCTGAGTATCGTAGGTTTGAATATTTACGAATTATTATTATTATTATTTCAGTATGTGGTAACTGGCAGTATGTACGTGCAAAAGATATGACTTGTGAAGAAATTGCTAACTGGATCAATTTCTTACGTACTCGTTCTGGAGTGAATATTTTTCCAATGTATAAATACTGGTCAACTAAACGCCCTTCAATTCAAGGCATGTGGCATCCGTTTTACGAACCCTTATATAATCAGACAGTTTTAAAAACACCCAATGAAATTGTAAGAAACATTGGTCAGCTTTGTCAAAATAAACAAAATGTGTTATCAGCCGAAGAAGTACTGTTAGAAAAAGCAAAACTTCAACAATATCGTCTGTCTGACTTATCCAGTTAGTAATTTTAGTGTAATATATTTTTATACCTAAACCATTGCAGCGCATTTTTGTGGATAATGTATGCTTCAGCTAAATATCTTCCATAACACTTAGAAAAAAATAAAGTATTTGCACGATTTTTAGTTTGTTATTTATTCTGTCAGACTCATTTTCTTTGGGTTGAAGTACATACCATGAATCCTATAAATGTAATTGATGAAATTACGAAAATGTCGGTCACTCAATTGGGAGATTAATTACTATCAGGGAAACTATTTCTTCATTTTGTGAACGAAATAAAAAATTGCGGTGAATCGATATAGTTTCAACCAAGGCAAGCATTTATTTAAAATTGACTCAAGAGGGATAATTGGTGAAATTTCTTTGGCTGACTGAAACAGCATAACAATCTTGAAACAATATCGAGGCCGAGGATGTAGGAGGAGATAAATGTTGGATGCAACCACGCTTGACGGATTCTGAGCTATGTCACAGTTATATTGATTGTCACCAACTTGATGACTGAGAACGGACGGATTAAGTAAGAACTCAACTATGAATGGCCCTGAATGTATATTCAAGTAGTTGAATTAACTGACAATAAACAATCAAAGTATGATAAAACTTAACGAACACAGCTGGACTGAAATAACCATAGTATAGGGATTAGGATGAAATAAATCCAGCATTGCATTAGACTGGTCCAATCTGCAGTGAATTGAAACGAGTCCGAACTGTCCGGATTCTCAATTGTTCATCAGCGTGTCCCAAATATTTATAGATCAATGTAATGACGAAATGTAATTAACAGATAGATAGACGGGCAACTAAACACTGGTATGTTAGAAGGACTCGCATATGTAGCATTCAAACTAATTACACAACTGAGCAGAGGTTAACCAATAGAACTGAAGTAATGCGTTTGGTAGTTGCATGTTCCGTCGAAATGAGTATACAGTTGTATGGATTTAGCCTGTTTGCATTAAACACTATAGTCACCCGATGCCTCCGAACCAGGTAGTCCGCACCTAACACAATGGTTCAGTCCGACGGACACTGACTTCATGGACTGGTGGGATGTCTTGGGTTGGCTGCCTGTGGTTTGCTCCCATCTATCTCTAATCCAGCTAAGGTAGGCGGTTGTTTTACACACGCAGTACACATTCCAGTCCCACCGCGTTTTTCATTTTTGTCTGGTAACCGCAGCGTGGCTCACTCGATTGTTCCACCAAATGTGAACAACGCTTTGAAAGCATCTATGACTAAGTGATTGTAGTTTACTCATTTCTTCCACAAGGGAGCCCCCAAGTACTTGGCGTTGTGCTTCCGTCGTTGCACCAATTCACCTAGTAGTATGATCTCGAAAGAAAGTCCAGACGTTGCTCTACGCACTAAAGTTTGTCTAGATGGGCAATATAGTTAGTCTTCATGCGGACAATGAGATTCAGAGCCTAATACTTAAACCTGTATTTAGCATGCGAATTAGATTTCTACTTCGTAATTATCGTTAAACTGTTGTCTAGCCTTTAGATTTACAGTCAACATGAAAACGAAATTAATCAAGGCTGAATAAGATGGTATTTCTTACTTCACAAAGTAACACAATAATAATTCAGTTTATTGAAAAATAAGAAGTATGTTATTGTGGTTAATATTGTCTGTACACATAAACGTCAAAGTGTAACGCATTGTCATATATTTTTCCAATATTAAGGTAAGATTTCGTTTGTCAACCCTGTCTGTCTTCGCGTCGGATGATTTCCTCAAAATCAGTTGCAAACTCCGTATACTTCAGCACTAACAATATTCACAAAATCGGTGAATCTCTTAAATGTGGGCCTTTTATACTGTGAGAACTCTCATAAACGTCATATAAGTGACTGAATCATAAAGGTTAGTTTGAAAGAAATTATGTTCCATTGTATTCACTACCTGTCCAGGCCAGTCTATCATATTTGAGGTCACTTGCACCAATCACATAGAGACACATTGAAATTCGGCTAACCGAACGGAAGTGATTATAACAGGGTCTGGATGTTTGGTCGTATGTTGATAGCCAGTTGTAGAGAAGATATAACTCCAAATCGTAATATAGATGATATGATTGGTCAATGTGAATACTCATTCTGTATTAATTCACAATTTTCCATATACTGATTCACGTAAACCCCTATTAGATCTGTTGTGAACAGTTGGGTGAAATATGATTCTCAGTAAAAAAATTTATTCCTAAATTAGACAGAATCTATTTAATGTATTTGATAAAGACTGGTTAGCATTCATTTCTATAAATGAATATTGTATAAAAGCTTTTAGCTTTACTGAGTCAGATTGTACGTGTTCTTTATCTAATGTAAACGGGTCCACATTCAATCATAAGAAACCAACACTACGACGAACAAACAAGTGGAATCATTGTGACGCTACGGATGTTACATGTTCCAATAAATTGATTCAATAATCAATAATGTTACCCAGTAAAAGTTAGTAAATATAGAGCAACAGTTTATAAAGATCATTCCTTCCATTATATAATAGATAACGCATTACCAATGTTAAATATCCATGGGATAGTAGAGAAGCTTTGTAACTCAAACTGATACTTCAAAGTCAACGTATGACTGATAAAGTGGGCTAGTGCAGAAATATCACGTTCCTGTGTGCACATGCTAGCTTAAGGTCAAACAATAGGTAAGATATGTGGAAGGAGACATACGCATGTGCGTACGTATTAGTCGTGTACACTTTGATTCGGTCGTCAGCTAGAGCTTCCCACACATTCCTAGTCTTCTCACTCTTATACCAGACTGGGGTTGATATGGAGAGTATGTATGTATGTGTGTGGTTGGGTAACCGAAGAACATAACACTGATATTATTGTCCACGATGATAATGAAATCTTACTAAGTTGTCTAACATACAGAATTTAACACCACTAAAATTTAGGTAGCCACGAATGTATATCATGAACAACTTTTCAGACAAAAAGGTTCTAAATAAGTGTTCAATAATCTGGTGTTCATCAAAAAGTCCAATAATTTTTTATCCATCAAATGTTTTTGTTCTCACTTATTATTAACAATAAGAAAAAGGAACATTGGTAATTCATAAGTGTATACAATAAGTGTAAGTGTACTTATTCGTTTGTATCTGTCTGCGTGTGTATTAGTATACGTGTGTGTTTATGTATAATTGCGTATTACAAACATAATCAAAGGATAGTAGTTGTGGTAGAAAATGAAGGCAATTAGAACAAAAACACACAACAATCAGGTGGGAAATTTTCGATATCCATTTCGATTTATATTCCTATTTCTTTTTAGATTCATAATATCATTATGAATATAGCATTATAAAGTATTCATTGAACAATTGCAAAAGAGAATATTTTAAATACTAACATTACAAATATGTATTTAGATAATTTGCAGATGTATGTATGTATGTATAATATATACAAAAGAATGTGCACATACATATGTTATTTTCTTTCACTTTAGAATAATCTTGTAATGTTGACTTGTTCATCACGGTCATTCACAATTAAACTTAATGACCATTTACATTTAATTAGTGTTCAACTCAAACATTACTGACGAAATAGTACTTGTGTATAAATGAAATTGAATGCGAAGATAGTGTGTATATGTTAATAGAGTATCAGTTGTAAACGTCCTTGTCCAACATTATATCAATAGTCCTAATGGTGGTCGTAATAGTAGTAATATTAAACACAATAAAAATCATCATGAATTTAAATGCATCACAGTTCATTCTTAAATTAAAGAAACAACAACTGATTGAAATGTATTAAGTGGGTTAAATACTGTGAAAATGATACTTGCGAAAACAGTGAACAACCAAATAAAAATCTATAACTTTAGTGAAGAGATTTATACTACTATGTAGTAGTTTGACATAATTGTAATTGTAAATTTAGGAAGTGGTATTATTTTAAACATGATCTAGGTGAATCATTTTCTCTATAAAATTTCCAGCTCCTCATAAATAGCCTGTAGCACATGCTATTCGAAGGCATTTGTTTGATTTCATTGCGCACATCATTTTCAAAGAAAATCGAGTGTTCCACGATCGCTTTCGTATTTACATGTCGTAATATCGGCCAAAAATAATACTCTTCAAATTTCATATAAACAGCCCGGTCAATTAGTTTATTAGCTAATTTAATGTCATGTGCTAAGAGCTTTTTAAATGTTGCTGGCTCCAAGTTACCCATGAGACCAAAATGAAAATTATTCTTGGAATGAATGACTTCTGGTGAGTAATTTGGTAGATATTGTCTTAATATGAATGAGGCTTGCCTCAACTTTTTTGGCGATGGACATTTGATATGTAAATAATGAAATAATTTCATAACCCGTGGGTTCTGTAGCCAATGCCGTTTTTGTTCGCCAGTCCACTGGACTATATCCTGTACAATTTCAAATAGATCATAATATATCTTTGTTTTCAGTTGTGTTTCATAAAATTTAACTAGTATTCTATCATCACTATCATTACCAACAGTGTTTATCTCGAACGATGATTTGAAACTCAACGAACAATTGTCCACTTGGTAATTGGACATTGAATCTGTTTTGTAGGTTAATCTAATTGTCTGGCGCCATTTATAGTCCAGAAGCATCAACCACTGATCTAGCAGTTCCGCTAGAGTATTTGATGTTACCTTATTAATATTATACTTATGATTCGTCATTGGATGTTTGTTAATAAGAAGTTTGAAATCCCGAAATGCTTGTCTATATTTATCTAGGATTTGTAAACTCATAAGCAATTCCGTTTGTACGAGTTTTGCAAGTTTATTTTTCAGCATGCTACAGTGCTTAAGTTTTGCTTTGTGATGCAGTGTGTTGAAGTGATAGGCAGGCGCTTCTAAAACTAACATTTCTTGTGAACCTATTTTCACAGTATTACTTGAGGATGATGGAGATATTGTTGAGGTGCTATTTACGTCTGACTGATTGGAACCTTCTTTATGCATTGAAACGAAACGTTGGAAACTTGAGGAGTTTCTTTGTTTTTCAATAACAGCTAGTAATCCTTTTGGCTGGAATCCATAAACTTGCCACGTCGCTTCAGGTTGCCACAGTTGGTGAGTCCAACCGGAAGCTAATGTATAGGATTTCTCATCAATTACATTTAACGTTGGAGACGTTCCATCATAGATTGTTGCGTTAGTAAATGGATTAGAAAGGAAGTGTTTTTGAGATTCGTCGGTGATGTCGTCTTCAGTTAGTCGGCGTTCAAAGCCTATTCCATGCCTTGATGCTCTGAGGTGCCATTCACAGTTATCGGTTAGTGTCTGGTTAATTATACGCTGTGTAAAGAAGACAATAAATGATGAGTAAATGTACATGAAATAAACAACTTCTCATTATATGGCTTCAATGGATATTGAGTGTGTAAATATTTAAATTTAAAAAAAACTTTCAAATTCTCCTACTTTCTATTTGTTTTGTCAAGTCTTGTGAAGTTTTATCAAGCTTTTTTATCAAACCTGAGAACGATAAATACTACTCATTATGAGTGCTCACCCTAATCAGTTTTTCAGGAATCGATAACTTAATCGGATTTCCAGTGAACGTCGAGAGTACATAGAATATGTAATCCAGTTGGAAGAGTAAACCGGTTAAATTCAGAGTCTTCTCAGATTAACATTTACATACCAAAACAGAGACTCGCATTTGTGTTGCACCTTAGAAGAATGAGATGATACTTTACGAATGAACGAAGTGGATCAATTCAGCGAAATAGTAGTTGAGGTAGTTAAGTGAATTGGACGTTTACAAACTTATATTAGCCTTGATAGATTGGTACCAAACTAATGATTGATATAGAATCAGATTATTGACACTTTCCAACTTATACTCCATCATGAAACAAATTTAAGGTTGACGAATTCCTCAATAAATGATGACTCAACTCGATGCTCATTAGTCACTTACTACCACATGAATATTCTGAAGTGCTACTTAAATGTCACCGCTCATTAAATAGATTGAAACAAGAGTAGGGAAACGCCTACCAAGGATGTTCAACACTATTCGTGAACTGTTGAAATCTGACCATGCAGCTGAATAGCATAACTCCTGCTTAGGTCTGGGCACCCGGGAAGTATCACAGTCCACACACAAATCAAGTGACTTGTGTGGCGCATATATATTCTGATATGATGGAAAGAAAAGTCAATTTTCGATTGATTTACTCATTATGAGTTTAGTTCAAGATTACTTCCATTTTGACTCAATATAATGGTGACTCAATGTAGTATTTGTTCTCTTTTCTCGTATGATATTTTATTCTATATAATATGCGATATTCTTGTATTCCATTGACATGAACTATACTCAGTATGTGATTTGTTATAAATGTGATTTCATTCTAATTATTAATCGAAATGGGTGCACAATCAATATATAAATGAGTGTATTTTCTACTAGGGTCGTCGTGTTTTGGGGTTAATAAATCATCACTTATACCAGTCTTTATGTTCTTACTTCCGCGTCGTGTGAACTGCAGAGGTCCGTCGTTCCGAGTATAAGTGGTAAGCGTTTCCGACATAACAATCAGCGACAACCAGATACAAAAAGTAGCATTAAAAGAACCAAGACAATAAGCATTCAAATGGCAAGTTATAACATATTCGGTGCCTGTTGGTACCAAATGAATAATAATCGCATAACTAAGAAGCTAAAGCAAAACAGAATAGCACTGATTGCGTTTCAGTTTATAGTATTTATCCAGTTGGGATCAGTAAGTTGAAAACACTGCCTATTCTGTTCAATATTTTCATAACAATTCATGCAGATATCTGTCCAAGGTCGGTGATTCTTAAATTACCAAAATGTATTGAGGCAACTTCATAATTAAATAGTTACATACCTCTGTATAGACTGTCCCATTCAGATGCATACATATACAGATGTTTTTGGCAAATTTACGCAGGATTACTCGCGATCCATCACGTGGTTGTAGTAATTTTTTTAGTAAGTTGTCTTTGTTCATTGGTGTTGACCACTGAGCAATTATCGAAATCGTAATCAGTGCTAGTTGGACAGGAGAACGAAGGACAACAAAATTTAGCGTTGCAAACATATATACACAAGAAAGAAACGCAAAGACAAAACGAATATGGTTTCACAAATATTGGAGTATGTCAGTTATTTCTTAACAACTATTTCGTTCTCTTGGAGAAACTAACAAAAGGAAAGCCAAAACAAAATGAGATAATGTACTTTCACCTAATTTTCACTGACTCACTAGTGTCTGTCATTTTCTAGTTGTTGGACGGTTTAAATCTCAACATGACAGACTGTTAGTGATGCTTACATGGGAAGAATATTAACCGATTTAGAGAATTTAAAAGGAATAAAAGTGACTGGAAACACTGATTTCAGCAAGCATGCGCAAGGTGTCAAGTTGACATCTTATTTAATTGCTTTGAAAGTAAAAGAGATACAATTGAGTAAATTGTGATACTCAATGGTAAACATTAAGCTTCTTTTAAGGTGTTATTCACAATGAAATAGATTCAGATTCGGATATACCATGAACTTAAGTAACTAGTGAATGTTGTTAGATATAAGTTAGTAGCTGTTCAATAAGTTTAGCCAGAATATCCAGAAAACCTGATTCGACTTACTTGAAGTGTGCGTTTCCCATTGTTCGTTAATAGCTCTCATGAGACCGTGACAAATGTTATGAGTTCAAGTCCTAGTGCTTCGGGATAATCTGAGTTGGTAAGGAGCTAAAATATGAACAACAACACTGGAGTGCAGGTGTGTTTGACTGAGAAATCCCGAATAAGAATTAGTGCACGTCCTAGATTCCACTATTAGTCACAGTCCAATGTACTAGGAACGTGTAATTAGAAGGTAATATCGAGGCATCCATATAGTATGTACACATACCAACAGAGACTTATAAATTGGAGTCCTGAATAAGGACAAGGTGAAATCACACGACCTTACTAATTAACCATTTCGAAGGGTAAGCGAGCGCTTTTTGTTTAATGATAGAACTAAGACTCTTTAATTCTCAATACTTATCTAATTAATCTTAATGTTTTATGGTTAGCATCTTCAAATTTCAAATGGAAATTAATTATCCACTAACATGAGATGAAAATAAATACATCAAGTAAGTGAATCCACACATTTTTCTGATCAATCAATTAATCAGTTTGGGAAATTCTCATATTCATTATCGATGGGGCGGTAGTTAGTTGATTATCATGATGAGTTGTTATAATGAGGCGTTGATCTGTGGAGTTGACCACATGGGGAATATGATAGTTGTTCTCAGTCGAATTGAATAATAGTCACTCATTATGATAAATTAGTTGAGACTGAAAGCGTGAACCGTTGGATTTCAAGTCAGTGGTCTTATAGTATTATTCTTACTAGCAGACGTTTAGGTCCTGGATTAGATCTCATATGTGGTCTTAAATAAAGGTTGTTGAGAATACGAAAGTTGTGACAAAACAGTTATTCAACGCACCATTGGTTATCAACGGTCCTTCACTTGGTGCTAGTCCGTGATGTAAACCAATAATAATTCATCTTACAAAAAAGAAGAATACTCACATGAATAAATACTTGTTAAAGTATCTACAACTACCAACGAAAATAGTGGCTGACATGTAGGTATATAGAGAAAAAAGCAAATTGCAAACAACTAAACAAATCAAATCCCCACTCATAGTTTTTGTTCACTTTTGTCACGCCAGTTTCTTGTTTTGACATGTTTCCTTAATTTCTGTCATTCGATAATAAATTTCAGAAAAAAAGACCACCACTTTGTAGCAATAACTCTGGTGCATATTTTATGTTAGTTCAATATGCTGGTTCTAAAACTGTACAAGTAATAAATAAATGGGCATGTTCAATAATAGGCGATTGAGTTGAGGGTAATGTGGATCTTTGTGTTTATCTAATATAGTAACAGCCATAAAACATAACCCATTCTTTCTGATAATCGTGATAAAGATTTTACAAAATGGTAATAATTTCGTTTCCATAAAATAAATGAAACTTATTTAATATATTTGTTGCTATAATTATGAGTGTATGACAAACTGAATGATACGATAGATAAGCTTACATTCATTTACAGATAGATTAGGAATTTGTTTTATTTTAGGTTGGTCACTTGTTAGTTATGAATGGAAATAGTTTTATCCGAAACTAATTTTAGATTAATAAAATTGTATAACAACTAGGAAATATTGACCAATCTCTACCTTCCACCTTATAACAATCATGTACTCAGTACTGATTAGTCCCTACAAGAAAATTTCCGGTGCTGAAAAATCTCTGGTGTGAGACGGGAATCACGAATTGACTGGAGTTACGAATGCAAAATATTGGGTAGTACTGATTTAGTGATCTGAAGGTTAACCAGTTGCTGTGATGGCCGAAGATTGTGGACTCGATCTAAGCATGTGTTGTTGATATACACTTAGGAGGAGTTCCGTAGTAGAACAAAACAGTTATCCAGTGCCTGCCGACCTTAAATAATTCATTAAACGAAGTCAATCAGCGGTGTAAACTACAAAATTGAGGAAATATTGGTCAGTTAATGCAACATGCACCAATCAAGGACATTCACATTGAGCACTGAACAGTTAAGTCTACTTAAGCAATAATTTAAATTACAAGTCTATTGACTAATTTTGAAATGATGGAGAAAATTTGTAGATTAGGTGGATGCTTTGGAAGGTGTTTCATTCTCAAGGGGTTTGTTTGTTTGTGAAGCTTCCATCGTTGTTGTGGACAGGATCACCAGTGTTGGGAAGACGAAGGAGAATTCACAACTAATAACTAACGTTTATTTAAACGTAAGCTAACTTTTGTGGTCACTAGATTAAAAACAAATAGACTGTTCAGTATGTTTGTCTGGTTATTAGAGTTAAAAAATTGTCTTATTTGAGTAGAACAAAATCGTCAATTCGTTGTTACTTGAAGTTATGGCTTGATCTCATTACAGAACCACTGTTCAGTTAAATGAGAGACAAGTGTATTAGTTTTACATCACGACCCCATCAACACAGAATATGTTCGGAATTATGTTTGCAGTCGAAGACGAATGTTTTTGATCTCTTTGATTGAAGATCATTTGAACTACTTATAAGTATACCAGATGTTATGACTAATAATTTCGCATACAAAACATCATATTATTAAAGAAAATCTCTCAAAATGTATTACTGAGGCTTCAGGCAAAAGACTAGCTGTGTTTAGAAATGGAAAGTGAAGTAAACACTACTCCATACAGAGATCTATTTGGGAGTTGGATTTTGAGAACACTCTACTCTTTGCGAGTAGTCAAGTCGCGGAATTCCCCACCATCTGAAATGGCCCAAACAACTTCCACAGAGTCTTTCAGGAAGAAAGTTGATGTGTTCTTAAAGACCAAGAACAGCATCCCATACTGATTTACTGGTATTTCTCTCAGTTGTACTTGTTTTATAAACCTAGGCCCCTCCCTATCTGGAGTAATCAGTGATCCATTGCTACTAGACACGATACCTGGTTCAGAGAAGGGCAGGCATTTGAACCACTTAACAATCTCAGAAGTCAACTTGTTTCAACATACCATATTGACCGGACAAGGATTTATAAGTATCCACTATCCTTTCGACTGTTAATTTTAGTCGTTTAGAGAGTTTTCGATCAATTGCCATTAACTTGGTTGTTTCAATTTTTGGAAAGAAATATTATCTGACAAAAATCAATGGTTGTTCCGTGAAAAAGACCTATACATTATATATAAACATATGTCTAATAATAATAATCTGAAACTAATGTGAACACATCATAAATACAAATATCACTTAAATAATCGTTTTATGAATTTCCTAAATCCTATTTATAGAAATATGTTAATAAGATGCAAGTGTACTTTTTCTTTTGAGTTAATTTCCATATGATTAGAATATTACATAAACAAATAAACGTCTGATTAGTGTAAATGATATTTTTTATTTCAGTTGAAAGATAAACTGTGTAGATCTCTTCATGGTCTATCATACGACAAGATGTTCACAACTATCAACAAAAATAAAGCAAGCAGACAGTAGGAATTAGTCAATTCAAAATCTAGTATATCTAAAGAATGTATATGAATGCTATATATTTTGATTATTGTTATCCAGTCAACACTTTGATCAATCTATGCTCGAATGGAACAAAATCTGTCTGGTTAGTTAGTACGATAAAAGGCTAAATTGATACATGATGTCCATTCATATAATAGTTTGTGAAATAAAGAGGGAATGAAGAATATGATTAAAATTATAAGAAACCATACATAACGCTTAGGGTTGAATAAAGGATCTTCTAGATTAGTGTTCCTAAATTAACTATCATCCATGTATAATATTTCTTCTAAAAAGAAACCATTGAAATTGCACTTGGTCTTATCAACAAGATTTCAACTAGGAAATCCACTAGTTATGCACTCAAATTCATATTGTATTTCTATGGTCCATTCGATACCTCTATCACGATTTCCGACACGCTCTGAAGCCGTCGTGGGGTGGATGATCTAGGTGGGTAATTCACAGAGACCTGTATACCCATGAGCGTAAATCAAGTGGAAGGTTGCTGAGTTATTGTTTCTACTTAGTTTGTTGCCCTTTTCTAGTGTGCGATCATAGCCACACATGAATTCACTTAAATGTAACCAATCTCACGCTAATTAACCATTAATGCTGATTACGTTACGAAACACTCACTAGGTAAAATGGCCTGACATAATAGTGCATGCCGTTTGGTGTTAGCGAGTGAAAGTAAGCGACAGGAAACACTGGATATCACAGTCAGATATGTTGTTACTGAGCTATATGTAACTCGGATTGCCAATTGTAGGACTGTGACATTTACACACTGAGTGATTTCATCATCACAACCACTGCTGTTTTGTCTAGTTCTAACTGCTCATTTTCAAACACAAAACGCAACAATAGTTTCAGACTATGAATTGTTCAGAAAATGATTTCACATAAGAGGAGTTTGTGCTTCGAAAATGATTCTAAGCGTGTGAGATGCGGTATAGTAACATGTATTGTGCTCAACTCTCATTTTCCCGAAATC